GATGATATATCGACACTTGGTAGGCTTTGAAATTTAAATATCATTAGTAAACCGATATTATTCATTATTAAAAATGTTTTGATATTCTGATCAATGCCTGCAGGTTGTCAATAGCTTGTTCGAGTCAAGATGAAAACCTTCGAAAATAACTCTGTGAAATTGCATATTAACAACACATCGAATGCAATTTTAATCAACACACAAATGAAGAAGAAAAATTATTGATGCAATCGATTAACTTTCAAACACATAAAACATTTGTGTAGGTACACCGCCTACTAAGTGAAATAATTATGAAAAAATAGACTGATAGCCCTGTGGATCATCGCATAAGAGGAACAATTTTAGTTTTATTATTCCAAATGGGAAGATCATGTGATAGGTAAAAAAATTGTCGTTAAGTTCGTAAAGTGCGCTTTCATTTATTATATTCCCCCTGTGAATTTCAAAATTTTATCTCTTCAAATAAAGAAACTACAGGCTGCTACATGTCTCCTGTGTCACCCGGTATATGGGTGTATACGAAAAGAATTATCACAAATGTATTGGCAAAACAGTTTTCAGGAAGACTCTTCACCTCCATTAGCGTGGTAATAGTTATTAATACACCAAGGTACTAAAGAATATCAGTTATTACCCATGGGACCAACATTATATCCCGAAGCTTGAGCCGAGAAGTATAAGGTCCCGTGGTAATATTATTCTCCACTATCAGAGTGTTAAGAATTTTTTTTTCACCACTAGCAAAATATTTCGATCACTATAGTTCTGTGAAACTGAAATATGCATGCACCTATCATCACAATGAAAGCACTTCTTTTCAATTCCGCTCAAAATCGACTGCCATTCTTGCAAATCTCGCATAAGAACAGTGAATTCGGGTTAATTCTCGGGTTAATTATATCAGAGGTGGCTATGCCTTTATTGAATAGTGGTTTATAAAATGACGAAAACTACCTTGCTAGTGAAAACACACTTTACGCCTTGAAAAGGAGTACATAATGGTAGGTTTTAGAGCTAAAGGTGGAAAAATTCCCTTCCTCTGTAATACCCAGTCATTCGAATCGTACTTATAATAGGTTTTCAACTTAACAAGTTCTCCATCTACGAAAATGATGCCTCTGCTATTTCACAATTTCGTATCAATTTGAAATATAAATATTATTATTTTGTTTGGTATAACGATAACATAGATATGAAATGTCAGCAGAATGAGTGGTATCAAGTTTAACAATGATGATAGAAGTACGAATAATGACTGTGATTCCACCTGATGAATCAAAATATATTGAGTGTTTCATGTTTAATCAGTCTATGGCGGTTGTTAAAAACATCGCACATCACACTTACTGAACTTAAATTTCCACAGACCAGAGATTAAGCTCGTTCGAGAGCATATGCGTAACGTGATTGGTGCAAATTCAACACGTGATCTTTTTAACTTCGATTCATCAACTTCTAACTAATGCATTAATTCATGTGAAATATTAGTTAACTGTTAAAAAATAAATTCTCATGGTGAAAATGCAAATTTGCGATGAGTTAATCATCAACAAAGCATGTAAATATAAAACAGGATTATTGATAAATAATAAATGAGTTAGTAACAAATCGTTTGTAAATTGTTAAGTACTGTTTTGTGACGGTTTGGGTAATATTTAATGACATTTCGGGATACTAAATTAATGTCGTTAATATTAAACTAACGAGGCCTGAATAAATCGATTCGTTAACGACAAATAATGTTTTCCCCCAGTGTAGTTATAGTTTGACATATCTATTGAAGAACCTTAAAAATACATTGAGACAAATAAAAAACAAAAAAAAGTTACAGACATGAGAAAAATGCCACCAATTATGGCTTCGACGAATCTTTCGGTATGGGTTTATAATAATAATATAATGCCGATAGTAATATTCTCATGCATCGAATTTCGAATCGATATAGCTTTCGTTTAAACAGAGATAAAATGTTCAAAGACAAAAATTCAAGTTGACTTAAACTCTTCGAAACCCAGTTTCTCTACGACAAAACGAAAATCATTTTTTCAATTCATCTATATATACTTATCGATTGCCAAAGTCAGAAATTTAAACCTCAGTCATCCTGTATATGGAATGCATTTCAAGCAACAATATCATTAATCAATATCTCCCATCGTGTATAAATGAACAACAATATGAATAGTGAGAATAATGCAATCAAAAATGGGTTCTTCATTGGAAATGTATCATTTTATATGCATTATTATCACATTGAACTTTGTCTACTTCCTTTGTAATCAGTGAACAACTGATGACAACTATAGAGTGAATATATTGAAGTTATTTAAACACAAAAGTTCATTATTAGTTTGGTTAGTAATCGGGATCTTATTATGTCGATTATTCTTTTCACATGTCAAAATGTAACGTTTCCGTTGTTTCAACAAATATCAATGCGTATAATTAATTCTAGAATAAATATCAGATTTTCACTTTTCTTTGATGGACGTATCGGTAACGAATCTGCTCCTATTTCCAACACAAAAATGGAAAATATTTGTCTCGCAAATTCTTCAGGTATTCGAATTCGCGAAAAACAAACAAATAATGGATAGGTCGTGAAGGACCAATGAAATGGTCAGCACGCTCGCCGAACATGGCCCCCAATTATTTTTTTTTGTGGTCATTCGAAATACGTTATTTATAAAACGGAATCTACTGACCTGGACGATAAGGAAAAAATAATAGGGGATGAATGCCAGGCAATATCTATAGAGAATCATGTGCAAGAGGGAATTGGAAATATACTCTATGGAAATCAATTGAGGTAATTTTGAACAATTGTTGTGGATGAACATTCAATAATTCATTCCGTACATCGAATCACCCACAACTGAAAAACATAGCATTTGAAATCGAACATGTCGAGAACGCCTTGTTGGAATTCAAAATGATGTATTAAACGACCTTACTTCCGTGTTCAAGATTGCGATGACAGCCTTGACCTCGAGTTTCGACTTGATTGATGGTTTGTCTGGTGACCCTTTGTTCTTTTCAAACAAAATGGACGCCATATCCTAGAACTCCACCGTTCTCACAACTCCACGAGTCGTTTCAAAAGTTCAATGAACTTACGGTCTTCGGATGCTCGAGATCCCTCACCGGGTTCAATCGAGGAGGGACTTCTGGAACGATACCGTTTCCTTGCCTCATCGGCTCTAGAATGTTCTTCCATTTCACTGCCCTCACGTGATTCCATTCTCTTCACTTCTCTATACTTCCTCTTTCTTGATTTTCTTCCTCAAAAGTAGCCTTTCGTCTTCTGAATCAGAGCTGGAGCTCTCGCTTGATGACAATACACGTTTTTTTACCATTTTCGAAGTTAATTTTGTTCATCCGAATAAATCGCGTGGTCGCTCACTGGCACAAAGAAGAGCAATGACATTTGGCCGTGACTAAATGACAGGCGGCGTATGTATGGAATCCATGGAACAGAGACAGTGAAGCGAGAGGCTGTTTAGCTTTGAAGATTGTGGCGACAACTGGCGGAAAGTAGGGGTACTACATAGTGATTTTGAGGACGAGGCGCAAATATAATCATTTTGCGTCAAACGGCGTGCTCCTCCAATTAAACATCGACGTGTTTCGTTATTTTTTTGTGAAATAATTTCTCAGAGAGATATCGAGGGTGCTGGATAGTCTCAAATGGACCACCCGGTATAGATCGAACGCTATTTCACCTCCGAATTGTTTTGAAATTACCCTATCAAACCCGGTATCGAGCCCGGTATCATTTATTTCGTTCTGATAATCCCTAACTTATAGAATAAAATACAGGGTACAACCGGAAGTGATGGGAGAGTATGAAATATCGAAGAATTACGTTGACATCCGGTATATTCGTAAATAGTCAATAATGCTGTTTTAATATTTCAATTATTACATATCAACTGAAACTTTTATTCGAAACCCCCATACATATAATAGAGGCCCCTATATTATGTATTCGTCCTATTCATTTGAGGAAGCTGAAAAATGATGGTCATCTAACCTTCCATATCGTTCTTAATTCTCGTAAATAATTGTTAAACTTCCAGTGATATATGATTTAGCTCATTTTGCTTACAACCCTGCTCATTTAAATAGTTGATATATACAGTGTGTTCCAAAATTGCTGGAACACAGAGCTACCGCGTGTAATAGAGGTCAAAAGAAGCTGATTGAACCCAATTTATTGATTCATCAAAAAGTACCGGTTGTTTGTCAAAAGAGTTCTAGGGTAGCAGAAAATAAACAAGTGCATTTCAATTTTCCACATCGATTTGACCTTTGTTATTGATGAAGGTGTCCAATATGTTGCTAATTCATTATAAAAAATATGTCTGCCTTTGTTTCCACTGTCAGCAAAATTTTTTATTACCCAATGTTATTAACGACTCCCCTATGGTATTATGGAATAAAACATGTTTTCCCTTCGGAAATATAGGGAGTACAAAGTTTATACAAGAGTAACAAAATGAAGATAACGAATCTGTCTTCTCGTTAAAGATATTTGAGAACCGTATTACGACCCTTAGGAATGTTCTGAAAAAAATATCAGGGGGTGAGGGTAGTTTCAATCTTTCTACAATTTTTTTTTTTAATTTTGAAAGGCGAGCAATCCTTTAACAAGCACTTTTTCCATATATCATCAAATTTGTTTCAGTGATGATTTCTGAACAGTGAACAAAAATGCGTTTACCTATGTAAACTTAGAACTCTTCTCACGGACAAATGGTATATTTTGGCATATATAAATAAATTGGGTCATATCAACTTATTTAGACCTCTATTACATGTGATAGCTCTGTGTCCCTGCAATTTTGAGACACCCTGTATATGTGAATATTTGTTTCAGATGGACAACTAGGAATACCAATCATTCTCGGAAAGACTAAATGACCCAAAACGAATGTACATGGGACAAGAGGTAACTCTGCCAACTGTTGACTAACACTTCCAATGAAACATTCAAAATGTGGATATTTTCGGTGATCGTTTCACTATCCGTTTTCTGTTCCTGCCTGGCATTACTTGAAGGACCAAATGTTTGTACTAGACAAGAAACGTAAGTGATTATTCTGTTTTATCTTTTGCGAGGGCTCTAGTTCACTCAAAATCATAATCTACATTTGTAATACAAGGGCGTTCAAATAGAATACATTGAATTTAAAGGCAATGTTTTGTGTTTGAAGACAAATCGACTTCAAACATCAAACATATAAATGGAGTTGATTTTAACATTAAACTTGAAGCATCAACCCTCAATAGGCGAGCTGAGGACTGCAATGACCCACTTAATGCCTCTAGACTGAAGTGAACCGAATGGGAGTGACTTCATTATTCCAAAGGAAGCTAAAAAGTAACCAAATGATACTTGTAGTGCTGATTTTTTACATAAAGCAAAACATTCAGGACAACATTATTCCTTCTTCATATCAATGATCTGTTGGGAGTAACAACTTGCCCCATCCACAGCTTTGCAGATGATAGTACCCTCCATACCGCGTTCTCTTCCAGAATTCCCATTTCTTCCCAGGAAACTAAGAACTCACGGCGCAGGCAGGTCAATGCTGTCAATGAAGATCTTGCTGAAATCACAGCCTGGGGAACCAACAACCTAGTTGAATTCAACGCCACCAAAACTCAAGCCTGTATTTTCTCTAGAAAGGCGGAACTCAGTATGCCCGACATTATAATGTCTGGCTCCACTATCCCCACCAAGCCCACCATATCTTTGCTCGGTATTTCCATCAGCAACACTCTTTCATGGGATAATCATGTCAGATCCATCGCAAAAGCTGCTTCACAAAAACTCGGATTCTTGTTCCGTGCGAGAAGCTACTTTACACCTCAACAACTTCTAATGATCTACATAGCGCAGATACGGCCTGTTTTAGGATACTGTTCCCACATATGGGGTTCAGCACCAAAATATACGCTGATGCTCTCAGATTCCATCCAGAGAAGAGCCATTCACCTGGTGGGTGACGCCACACTCACTCACTCTTTGACATCATTGGAACACCGTCGAAAGGTCGGCAACCTTTCACTTTTCTATCGATACTTCCACGGGAAATGTTCTTCGGAAATATCATCCCTTCACATACTACATGAACGAGGCTAATTTCTAGGAAAATGTGGACAAATCTGAAGTATTCAGATTCTCAAGGCCTACTACTGCTTGTTGGAAGAGTTGAAATTTCATAAGCGACTATTTGCCACTTTTTTCCGAAAATGTAGATATAGCCTCTTTGATTCAGGCATAGCTGAGACTAGAAGGAGATATATTGATGCTTGATGTGATCCTAATTAAATAGCGATTATGGCGAAATGTAATTGGAATTCGGGATGAATACGAAATGGCCAATATTTCCCCGAATTAATTACTATTGTTTATTCTCCAAGAATTATGGTATGGATCATAATGAAAAATTGGCAACCTCAATTTCTTTGAATTACTTTTGGTTGATCTAGAGGAACTTTCCTGATAGAAGATAGATGAAGTAACAACGATGAAACTTTGTATCATGGGTACTTGATGTCTTCCTCTATCGAAAAACTACTCCAGATTTGAATGGAGTGAGAATTGAAGAAGCAAAAATATCAATATTTGCCATTGAATAACAAACACCTTATATGAGGTCATTTATAGCGTTAAAACTTTTTATGGGGGTATTTTAACTATACGCCTCAATCGAATAGGCTATCAACTTTTTCTGAAAAAAATTGCCTAACAGTCGTTTTTGACAATTGAGAATCTGAATATTTCAGATTTGTCGACATCTTCGAAGAGAGCTTATTGAGTACCTACTATATATTATCACATTTTTGTTCCGGTCGACGGATTCCAAAAGAAGGAGAGTGTTTTGATTTGGAATCACACAAACTGTATATATTACAGTAATATACAGGGTGTTCCTTAATAATATGTCTATTTTCGACCCATTTCAAGAATTCAACGTATCTCGTAAACGTACTAATTTTTGAGATACAGTGTGTCAATATTGAAAATATGCATAGATGCTTATTTTTTTCACCCTGTATATTTTCGAGATGCCAAAATGCAGTGTGCTATGTAACTGAATCGGTATGAAATTATCAAAATGTTCCACACTGTGGACTTTTTGGACATACGTTCATATGAGGTTTTCTTCTTGAAATGAGTCAAAGACTCACCCCCTCAAATATTAGCATGTCTTGAAGGAAAACCCTGTATATTTCAATGTATTTCTTTTTGAACAGATAAATAGTAGAGTAAGTATAGGTGAGATGTAGTATTGTTAATCTATACGGAAATATAATAGGTATCTTATCGGTGAAAATTGAACAATGACATTGAATTCGACAGATTTTGTTAAATATATTCAGGTGAGTAATGATAAATTCTCAATGCTGAAAGACACATTTAGTTTTTAAATTGGAATGAATTCAGTTCAAATCATAATTTACCGCATGAGTAGGATAAAAGAGGGTTATGATTCGGTGAGTATCAACAAAGATTACTGATTTCTAGAAGATGATTCATTTACTGGGATCCGTTTTTCGATATGACCAACATTGCGTTTTTTGCTTCCCCATTAATTATCATTCATTATCAACGAATAGACGTAGGGATAAATATAGAAATTGTTATTCGAATTTTCTTTCCTTTTTTTGTACACTACTCACACTTTATTGATTCTTGAACTCATCAGCATGGCACTGGGACGAAATAGCGCAGGACAAAATAGCGCGGACAAAAGAGCGCAGGACAAAATAGCGCAGGGACGAAATAGCGCAGAGACGAAATAGCGCAGAGACGAAATAGCGCAGGGTCATAATAGCGCAGAGACGAAATAGCGCAGAGACAAAATAGCGCAGGGTCATAATAGCGCAGGAACAAAATTGCGCGCGAAAATGGAGTGCAGGATCTCTGATTAGGTTTGTTCGTTTGTTAGAGTAAAGACTCATTCTTCAAATACAAGGTGTTTCAAAATGAGTCTATACCCTAGCAAACAAACTAACCTAATCATAGGTCTACTTTAACAATCCAACGGTATACCTAGTATTAAGTTACTTCGTTTGTAAGGGTAGTCTCCTTTTGAAACATCTAGTATTTGAAGAAATAGTCTATGCCCTGACAAACGAATTAACGTAATCATAGATGATGCACTACGTTTTCGCGCTCAAATTTGTCCCTGCGCTATTATGACCCTGCGCTATTTTGTCTCTGCGCTATTTCGTCTCTGCGCTATTTTGTCTCTGCGGTATTTTGTCTCTGTGCTATTATGTCCCTGCCGAGGGGTAAATCACGGCGAAAAAAAATGTACACCAAACTTCCCATGGGTCAAAACTTCCCAAACTTCCTCGAACTTCCTCGAACTTCCTCAAACTTCCCCGAACTTCCTCGAACTTCCCAAACTTCCTCGAACTTCCCAAACTTCCTCGAACTTCCTCAAACTTCCCCCGAACTTCCCAAACTTCCTCGAACTTCCCAAACTACCTCGAACTTCCTAAACTTCTCGAAACGTTTCAAACGTCACAAACCAAGTACTTATAAGCAATTTGGTATTGATAGATTTGGTCCGGTTTGTCATACATAAAATTCAACAGTGTGGTGTTCTCGTTGAAATAATAAAATAATTTTATTACATTCATTATACATCGAGTTATACATAATCTCCATTTCATCTTATAGAGCGTAAAAAGTTTAGTATCTTGGGTAATTTTGTGGATTTATCTCAAACCGTTTCGAACTCTTCATCAAAAATCAATATTAAGACTCGTATTTTAAACACCCTATATCTCGAAAGCGAAGCGTTTGAAAGTATATGTTTATATGATTTTTCTTATAATTTCAACCGAGTACAACACACTGTTGAATATTTTGTATTACAAACCAGATCACATTGTATAGGTATAGGTATAAACAAAAATAAAAATTCCTACGTATATGTATAGGTGGGTACCTAAACTTGAAAGTACTTTACTCGAAGAAATTTGAAACTGTATGTCATGAATATCTGCCTCGATATCTGCACTGTTTTTCAATACAAAATGGAATTCCACTTCATTACAATTTTGACTAATCCACCAACAGAAATCAACTATCAAACTAATTACCTATGCAATGCAGTTTTTCTCTAACAGCATCTGTTGAAAGTTCCAAAATAATAATGAACTCTTCGAAATTATGTGAAATATTATTTCTATATAGGTTGTTTCAGAGTTGTGTCGACAAAAGCCTTGACAGAAGCCTCAAGCAATGATAAAAAACCCATCATTCTTTGAACTTGGACACCCTGTATCTCGGAAACGAAGCATTTTCGGACCCATTTTCATGTGAACCTGATTACATAATTTGTTGAGGGGAATTTCCTCTAGGCTTTTGTTACCACAGCTTGCTTGGTCTTTCGGAAACTTCTCAAACTTCCTCAAACCTCCAAAACTACCTGAACATCACGAAATGTTTCAGACTCCTCCGAACTTTCCAAACTTAACCAAATCACCCAAACTTCCTCGAACTTCCCAAAACTTCCTCGAACTTCCCAAACTTCCTCGAACTTCCCAAAACTTCCTCGAACTTCCCCAAACTTCCTCGAACTTCCCAAACTTCCTCGAACTTCCCCAAACTTCCCCAAACTTCCTCGAACTTCCCAAAACTTCCTCAAACTTCCCAAACTTCCTCGAACTTCCTCGAACTTCCCAAACTTCCTCGAACTTCCTAAACTTCCCGAAACTTTTCAAACTTCACAAACCAGGTAAGCAATTTAGTATTGATTGATTCAACTTTTTTTCCTTTCCCTATGGTAGGTAGGTATAGGTAGGTTCAGTTAGCGCTCTTATTGCAGAAGTGACTAGATAGGTGCCATCACCGCCCTAGTGCGACATGTTCATTGCATCTGACTGTACGTATATGTATAGGCAGGTATAGGTGAGTATACCTTAACTTAAAAGTACTTTACTGGAAGGGATTTGAAACTGAATGTCATGAATATCTGCACTGTAATTCAATACAAAATGAAATTAGACTTACAATTTTGAATAATCCACCAACAGAAATCAACCATCTAACCAATTACCGAT